ATGTATATAATGAATATGAATTCAGAGGGCAGAAATGATTAAATATCAAAGCATTAGACCTCTCACTAACGGCTTCAGTCATACAAAAGCTATACTTAAATCCGAACTGGTTCTCTACCAGATTAGTAAGAATGGTTCACCTCGTGTTCTAAAATGGCCTTTTTCCCTTTATTCAGATTACAACCTCTCACTTTTGGTTATTTGAAAATGAAATCATCTCCAAAATATCAGTATTTTTAAAACAAGCCATAGAAAGTTGGTTGCAATTTCTGTTTAATCCATCAGAAAAGACAGAACAAATATTACAGCAATTATAATGGTTAAACTCAAATATACTAATTGATAAAAAAACTTTATTTAAAAAATCTACTGCAAAAATGGAAGAGGCAAGTGGAAGGGGGAGAAAGTAAGGAACTTGTCTGTTGGCCCTGCATTAAAGAGCAACATTGGTTAAAGAAAGTTGTGATAGATAAAAAAGTATACCAGTTTCATTTAAGGACCAAAAATTGTCAGCTGTGCCATACAGATTGCAAAATAGTTGGGAAGAGATTTTCGATGTACCGATTCCATGGCACATGGTTTATGAACTAATACAGAAAACGACGCCCGATTCAAAACTTAGAGTTTTTCAATTTAGATTATTATACAAAATTCTTGCAACCAATAGACTGTTATATATATATATATATATATATATATATATATGGGGGATACAACCATCCCAGCTCTGCAGATTTTGCTGCGAAGAGACAGAATCATTACATTATTTGTTTTGGTACTGTCCATATGTAGCTTGTTTTTGGTCACAGGTTCAGACATGGCTGAAGAATTGCAACATTTACCTGGAGTTAACTCTGAAAATAGCACTACTGGGTGATCTGAAAAGTCATAGTCAATCGATCAATAATATAATAATACTATTAGCAAACATGTTTATCTTTAATTTACCATCTGTAGACACTATGAGAATAGAAAGGTTCAGAACTTTTGTGAAGGTCACAGCACAGTTGAAAAATATATGGCGAATAGAAATCAAAACTCGATGGTCTTCAGAGAAAGATGGGAGGGGTTGAAAGGGTAGCTGAAGGATGGGACAAAAAACAAACAAAAGATAACTAATGTAAAATATACTGTGTCCGTAAAATGTATATAGTATGAATGAGCTGGAAGTAGAAGCCTAAGTGTTGTTGTCCATTAGTTTATTCCAATTAGGGGAGGGATGGTAGGGTTAGTGGAAAATAATAAAGGAAAATATATAAAAAATGTATATATATATTACACACATTTTAGTAATTCATGGGCATGTCTTATAATTCGTGAGCTTGTTTAAAAAAAAATCTCAGTCAATGTCACTTCCAGGGCTTCGTAGATTCCTGCAGTGTCAACACTATGGTACTATATATACAGCTGCGGATAAAATTAAGAGACCACTGCAAAATTATCAGTTTCTCTGGTTTTACTATTTATAGGTATGTGTTTGGGTAAAAATAACATTTTTGTTTTATTCTCTAAACTACTGACAACATTTCTCCCAAATTCCAAATAAAAAATATTGTCATTTAGAGCATTTATTTGCAGAACTGGTCAAAATAACAAAATATATGTAGCGTTGTCAGACCTCGAATAATGCAAAGAAAATAAGTTCATGTTAATTTTTAAACAACACAATACTAATGTTTTAACTTAGGAAGAGTTCAGAAATCCATATTTGGTGGAATAACCCTGATTTTCAATCACAGCTTTCATGCGTCTTGGCATGCTCTCCACCAGTCTTTCACATTGATGTTGGGTGACTTTATGCCACTCCTGGCGCGAAAATCCAAGCAGCTCGGCTTTGTTTGATGGCTTGTGACCATCCATCTTCCTCTTGATCACATTCCAGTCCTCCATCCACACCTTGATTGACCTGGCTGTGTGGCATGGCGCATTGTCCTGCTGGAAAAACCAACCCTCAGAGTTGGGGAACAATGTCAGAGCAAAAGGAAGCAAGTTTTCTTCCAGGACAACCTTGTACGTGGCTTGATTCATGCGTCCTTCACAAAGACAAATCTGCCCAATTCCAGCCTTGCTGAAGCACCCCCAGATCATCACCGATCCTCCACCAAATTTCACAGTGGGTGCGAGACACGGTGGCTTGTAGGCCTCTCCAGGTCTCCGTCTAACCATTAGATGACCAGGTGTTGGGCAAAGCTGAAAATTGGACTCATCAGAGAAGATGACCTTACTCCAGTCCTCTACGGTCCAATCCTTATGGTCTTTTGCAAACCTCAGCCTAGCTCTTCTTTGCTTCTCATTGATGAAGGGCTTTTTTCTAGCTTTGCACGACTTCAGCCCTGCCCCTAGGAGCCTGTTTTCGAACCGTCCTCGCCGTGCACTTCACCCCAGCTGCCGTTTGCCATTCTTTTTGTAGGTCACTTGATGTCATCCTACGGTTGTTGAGTGACATTCGAATGAGTTGGCGGTCATCCCGGTCAGTAGAGAGTTGTTTTCGCCCTCTGCCGGTCTGTAGCTTTGTTGTCCCCAATGTCTGCTGCTTGACCTTCTTATGAACCGCCGTCTTTGAAATTTTAAGGGTGGAAGCAACCTGACGCTCACTGTATCCCTCTGCCAGTAAAGCCAGAATTGAACCCTTCTTTTCCTCACTCAGAACTTTCCTTTTCAACTCTTTTGGCATGGTCAATAGTTATTTTTTAATTAATATTACTTTTTAGGTACTATTAGCACTGTTTTTGCCATCCAGCTGGTCCTATTGCAAGAGGATAGTGATGACCACAGCAGTGTTTTTTATACTTTTCCTCGTTAAATAAGATTTGGTTCATGTGATCACCTAATCAGTACCTAATTCAGTAGAATGAGGTGTGCCTGTGTTGGAATTCAACAGACACTGGAATGGAATGGCTGTCATACATGTAGATATACTGATTTAAGACAAATCTGCAGTGGTCTCTTAATTTTTTCCACAGCTGTATATCTTAATGTAAATAATATATGTTTTGCACTTTGCGTTATGTGGTGTGATTTCACATGGATGAATTTACAATTTGGGAGAGGGGTTAGATGCCAGCATCCTTTTTTACATGGTAAACAATGGCCAGACACACACTTACTCTCAGGCACAGTTTTATGGCACACGTTGTACGGTTGATTGGTCTGTGAACTCAGTTTCTGTGGCCTGGCTTAATGGAGTAATGCAGGGGTCGGCAACAGGCAATATAGGAAGCGCCTATTAAGTGCCCAAAATAATTTTTTGGGGCACCCTAAAGTTTTTACTTTTTGGTCTAAAAAGACTCTAAATTCAACCGGAATTCTAAATGAGTTTAACTTAGGAAATCTGTTCCCAAGTATTCCCACAAATAAAAAAAGAGACATATATATATGATAGTTTCTCAATGTAATCAAGGTATGAAATTATTGTAATTTTCAAATATAATATATTTAATTGTGGTCAATTTGCAGTGTACAAATTATTATAATTATGATCTGGCCGCCCAACCATCGGCTCCTAGCCTGTGGCTGAATCTAGTTGCCTAGCCCTGGAGTAATGTGTAATGAAGCAGACAGCAGGAGGTTGGCCTGGGTGGTGTGCAGGGTAATGGAACAACTGCTAGAATAGTTGCACAAAGTGTATAGGCACATTCTCAAATACACACACACGCACACACACGCACACACGCACACACACGCACACACAAGCATGTGCTCACACACACACACACACACACACACACACACATACACACACACACACACACACACACACACATGCAAACACACACATTGTTTTTTTGGTTTAACAAGCTTCCATTCCCCCTGTCATGAGAGGATTTATGGCTGATTTAAGATTAAATGATCAACCCTGTGACTTTATTTGGCACTTAATAGGCACTTACTTTAGTTTTTTTAAGATGGAAAAAACATGTTTTTTATTAAGTTGAACATGTTACTAAGTTACACTTCTCAAAAGGCACCGAATTGGTGGAATGTCCCAGCTGCCTTTCACATAACTACAAGATGCAAGAAAATATACTGTTTCAGTGGAAACTACAATATAAAAAGGAGAACTGTATGCAGTTATTACTCAGAAGAGAGATAAGGTTAAATAATGTGAGAAGTAGGAAATATGATGACATACAGAGAGACAGGGAAAGAGTTTCTATGAGACACTGAGTATGAGAGTGGAGAAGGGGTGGGGAGGTTTGACACTGAGTGTGAGGGCTGGAGAAGGGGTGGGGAGGTTTGACACTGAGTGTGAGGGGTGGAGAAGGGGTGGGGAGGTTTGACACTGAGTGTGAGGGCTGGAGAAGGGGTGGGGAGGTTTGACACTGAGTGTGAGGGGTGGAGAAGGGGTGGGGAGGTTTGACACTGAGTGTGAGGGGTGGGGAGGTTTGACACGGAGAGTGAGGGGTGGAGAAGGGGTGGGGAGGTTTGACACTGAGTGTGAGGGGTGGAGAAGGGGTGGGGAGGTTTGACACTGAGTGTGAGTGGTGGAGAAGGAGTGGGGAGGTTTGACACTGAGTGTGAGGGCTGGAGAAGGGGTGGGGAGGTTTGACAGGCAGGTAAAAGGGAAAGAGGCGTTGCCAAGATAACACGTTACACAACCTAACCAATAATTCCACCGTGCCTCGATGTCTCTGTAGAGGGGTATGTATTTCAGACCAACCTGTCTGCCCTGCTGCTCCCTCCTTCTCTCTCTCTTCCTCTCACACTCCCTCGCTTCTCACTGTGAGAGGAGCTGGTTGCTCTGACAGGGAAACAGCTTCTCTCCTCTGACACAAGTGGTTCCTCTGACAGCGATATGAACAGCTTCTCTCCTCTGACACAAGTGGTTCCAGGTGGGATTCAGACTCATTAGCTCTCATTTGGGTTTACAAAGATATATATTCCATCTGGATCCTTTAAACTGGCAGCAAAAGCTTTCGATCCATAACATCCTTGAGGCTGAAATATATTGGAATCAGGACGTGAGTCAACAACAACCGTACGTGTGACTTTGTGAATGAATGAGAATGGTAAAGGCACTTGTTCAAGCTTGCTTGAGGTTGCTGTGGATTCTCACCTTGGCAGAGTGTAAGATCCCAGGTAAGGATAAGATCTCTCTCGACTCTTTGAAAGGTAGTAGTGCATGAATTATCAGGATAGGGTCAAGGGTCAAGGCAGGGCATGGGATGTCTTTAATGTGACTATGCTGACCCACTGAGTGAGGAAACAAATAATTTGACTACTGTATGCCTTTGAAAACTTACATCTCATCTAATCTTAAGATACATCTCTTTTTATTTGTTCATGGAACGGGTGCCTTTTGCATTTTGTGTCCCTTTCACTGCACAAGACATCGTATTTCCTCTTGGAAAAACTAGACAGGCGTCTGAAAAATAACTAACTGTTTTAACATGTGGTTGGACTGTCTCCTTGCCATCCTAAAGGAGAAGGGTTTTCAACAAGACAAATCCAGTGTAACGCAATGGTTTAGAGATGATGGTTTGGCCAGGAGTTTTGTGAATATAAACAACCATTCCTATACAACATAAGTTACATATTGTCACTGTAGTGTCCCTGTAACTTGCCTTTGAAGTCTCTGAGGATTTATGAGGTGAAAACATCCTTCAAGTCAATGCTGAGCCTCCCTTGCTGTGCATGTGGAAATATGTGGTCCAGATGTGTTCTCTCTGAGGAATCCAGTGGCCCACGGCGTCTGTGATGGCTGGCCCTCAACACGGCTCTGTTCGTTCTGACTGGAAGACTACAGAGACCGGATCCTACTGTCCTGTCCAGTGTTTAGACTGGCCAGACCTCACTGGGACCCAGGTCAACTGTCTCTCCTGCACAGGAGGCTGCTGAGGGGAGAACGGCTTATAATAATGGCCGGAACGAAGCAAATGAAATGGCAACAAACACCTGGAAACCATGTGTTTGATGTATTTGTTACCATTCCACTAATTCCGCTCCAGTCATTGCCACAAGCCCATTCCTCCCAATTAAGGTGCCACCAACCTCCTGTGCTCTCCTGGTTGGGCACTGAGGAGAGGCTCACAGTCTCACTGGGACGTCTCTGACTTTTCACACGTTTGCACACATGCTAATTCTATATTGTCATGCACCAGGGCCGTGCAGACCTTAAAAATATATATATTTAAAAACCCAAATACCTTATATTCTTAATTCTCTACTAGCCTAGGCTACTGCTCACAGAGAGGGCAAATATATGGGCTATCGGCTGATCATAGTGAATGTATGCAAAGGCAGCCTCCCGAGTGGCGCAGTGGTCTAAGACACTGCATCGCAGTGCTAGCTGTGCCACTAGAGATCCTGGTTCGAAACCAGGCTCTGGCAAGCAGCAGCATCATCCAGGGTAGGGGAGGGAATGGCCGGCAGGGATGTAGCTCAGTTGGTAGACCATGGTGTTTGCAATGCCAGGGTTGTGGGTTCGATTCCCACGGGGGGTATGACAAATAATGTAGGCACTAACTGTAAGTCGCTCTGGATAAGAGTGTCTGCTAAATGACTAAAATGTAGTTGATGTAAACCAGATAACTAGTTAGCTAGCTAACTGTTTGATATGCTGTTGTAACAATTGAACTACTCTTTACCTGGGATTGGAGTTTGTTCTGCTGCTAACATCTGCTCTGACCGTGAGAGACGACATACAACTCAAAAAGTAGCCAGTGTGCCACTACTCACACTACCGCCTGTAGCTTCTGCTCGGGCGGGGATGGGGAATTTCCCAAAAATATTTAATTAGCTAGTTTGATTGGCAAGTCTTTACAGAACAGGAGAGAAAATAGACTTAAAGTACAATCAAAATGTAGTAATAAAAAAATGCTACCAATCTGAAAAGGCCCTTTTCTCATAGGAGGGTAAAAGTGCAGGTGCTTAGGTACCCCTAGAGCCCTATCTCTGCACGTGCCTGTCCTGCACTATATTTGACTCTGAGTTGGTGCCCTGTCTATGACGGACTTCACTGACGCTATCATTGTTATTTGACAGTAAAAAGCCCATACATTCCCCTGTGAACATGGATGTCAATTTACCCATTCACAGTGCAACATATTGTTGTGTAACCACATTTTGTGCACAACAAATGACTGAAAAAGCCACATGTTGAGAATAGGCTGTGTGATTACCAGTTTCAAGGGTATTATCTAATACTTATCCAGTCAAACCCTGCATTTAACTCAACAATTGTAATGTGTGGCCTATCATGTTTGGCTTTAGGAATGCCACCATAACCATATGGTGCTGGACCTCACTCTGGAGTGTGTGGGGGTTAAAATGGTGGGGTTGGGTAAGACAAAATGTAGGAAATGCGTCAGAATCGTGGACAAACGTAACCTATAGCAAGATGGAAAGAAGGGGAGAAAGGTTCACTGACGTGTCCAATGCAGGACACGTCATATGAGTTATATTGACATGGAAAGAACGTACTTCACGTTCTTTCTAAAGTGTGTAGGTTGAAAGAGACTGAGAAAAATATAGGAATGGAGAGCATATTCTTTCATTCCTCCTTAAAAGGTGACATTTCCCCACACCGTCATCTCTCTACTTCTACCCTAGATGCCCACGTGACATGCCTGTTCTCTGAAGACTGTGTGCTGCCCTGCAATTTCAAACCCAGTGGGAATGAGATCATCCGCTGGTACCTCCAGGAAGGGCTCCTCCTCAGCCAACCCCAGCAGGGTGGAGACCAGCCGGACCAGCCTCCCCAGGACCACCGTACCAGGACGTACCTGCTCCAGGACCAGCTCTCCCGGGGCAATGCCTCGCTCCACCTCAGCCATTGTGGCATCAAGGACCGGGGCCGCTACAGGTGTCTGGTCAACAGCACTCTGGGACAACAGGAGTCCTTTGTCATCATGAAAGTGGAGGGTTAGTAGTCTGGCTGGAGCTAGTATCGAGGCTAGTGTATGTTGCTGAGTATCCACTTCACATATCAAATGCCTTTACCGTAGCTCGTGGTGAAATGCCCTTTGTGTCACGAAGGTTAAAAGACGTGAATCAACCAGCTGAATCTGTATTTTAGCTGTTAGACCTAGAGCCAAATGGCTAAACTGATATCAAGCCAAGAGTAGAGTATTTGCTCTTGTTATGGTTTTGTGACCTTGCTGTACAATAGATGTTTGAAGGGTTTTTGCTCTCAGATTCGGTTTGTAGTGAAACCACTCAAGGTTGTTACTCTCTAATCCTGGCTATCTATTATTGTTATTTCAGCTAGCATCAAGATGGTTACTATGGAGAAGAGTACGAACAGAGAGATTCAGTGCCTGTCCAAGGACATCTTCCCCGCTCCCCGTGTGCAGTGGTCCACTCTGCCCCCGAAAGTCAACCTGAGACCCATCACGCATATGAGATCCAACACTGAGGGCCTCTACTCCGTTCAGAGCACGCTGAGAATGTTTGAAAATACCCTCACCTACATCTGCACCGTTAACTCAACATATGGATCACAGTCATGGAGGAGCTCAATGCAAGAAAGAGGTACGTCATAACCAGCATTGACTCTCTCTCTCTCATTTTGCAGATGCATAGCCTATAGTTGAGTACTTCTCATAAAAACAGTAACAAACCACTGTGAGTGACTGTTATGATGACTAAGTGCAGAGCCAGAGACAAACCCACACAGAGAAATTGACTCATTTATATGTGGGAGCTCTCAACACCCAGTCAGATTTTTTTGATTTAATTCAGTGTCACGCACTGCCCTCTAGAGTTTAAGAGAGTGACTACAGCAGTAAGGCCCCAAAAGGACAGTGATATTTAGACATATTCATGGTTCACGGTCCATAAAAGTATTTAATCAACAGCGTTGATTGGAGAAGCGGGGCAAGAACTGTCCATACCCTGCATCGATCGACAGAACCTCCAGAACTTCTCCCTCACCTGGACCTTCAGCAGAACCAATGAACCCACAGTCATCCTCAGCTACAACAGCAGAACCAGACGGATCTCCAACCTCTGGGAGGGCCGGGCTGGACTGAAGCCGGACCAGGTTTTGATGGGAGACGGATCCCTCCTTCTTCACAACCCAGAGAGTCAGGAACACACAGGAACCTACACCTGTACATTCACAGGCTTCCAGAGGAGACACATGGTCCAAACCCAGGTCAACATCAGGTCAAGATCCCAGTTACCAGTGACAGGTACATAAACATTAAACCTTCATCTTAAAAATCTATACTGTACTATTTTTTTCATGGTATATAGTATGAGCTTATTATACACACAAGGTTATTGATGATAAGTGTTCACATAATTTCATAATCCTGCATTTTTCACACATGTTTACCTTGTCCAAATGTCTAGAAAAGATGCCAAAGACTACAGACCAGATTGAGCGTACAGGGGAAAGTCACTTCCACATGTTGATGATTGTTGTAGTAGTTGCAGTGGTGGTTGCAGCAGTAATAACAGCACTACTACTGTATAGAAAACTAAGAGGTAAGTGTAGCCTTTCCTGCAGTCAAATGACCAAATCGCCCTCTAGTGGTCTCATGGGTGGAATGTTAATAATATCTTTCATAATTTCATAATTAATCAACATTATTTCAAAAAACCTGCTGAAAATTCAGTGTTTTTATGTTATATTTCAGTCTTCTGTGATGTATATAAAGTGCAATATTGGGATGCAAACTTATATCTGACATGGTACAGGTGTCTTCTTTTTTCAAAGTAGATTTGTTTAAGACTACCAAGAAATACAGTGTGACCCTGATTTAGCCCACTGGGGTAAAAGGATAAAGACAGAACTAGGGTTGCAAAAGGAGGGTATATTACTAGAAACTTTCGAAGTTTACCAGTAAATTACCAGATTATTGGTATCTTTCAAGGATTTTATGTAATCTATCTAATTTAAATTTAATGTAAAATAAAAAAAAATAGTTAAGGCGAGGCACCACAGGCTGAAATTACATTTTTGTATCTACTTCTCAATTTTGGGATTTAATATTAGCAGTTTAAAAAAGTAAAAAAAAAAAAGTAAAAAAAAAAAAAACCATAATGTAAATGTGTATTTTATTTTGTTTATCATACTACCGTCATCAAACTTTTATGAATTTTAACCACATTCAAATAGAAATAACTCCATAATTTCATACACCATTTAAAAGCCCATTTCATAGAGAACGTTACAAACTGGACTATATGTAGTACCTTACTTTGAAGAGATCGTGATTGGGTCTAAATAGGCATTTGGCGATTGGTAGGCTAAATTCAGTGTACTTGTCTTTAACTGCCATTTCCTGAAAGTCAGACTCTTCCCACATGCCAACAAATTTTTCTCAGACTTCAAATGTTTTGTGGTTATCTTTATACAGTATATATTCCCCAGACGTGTATAGGGGGAATTGTTGATGTTGTCAAATTTTTATTCAAGATAATATTTTCTTTGGAAATATACGCAAAAATGCAGTTTATGTACATATCTTTAGTATTTTACGGATAGAAAGATTATAAGGATATACAGTAGGGAGAACAAGTATTTGATACACTGCCGATTTTGCAGGTTTTCCTACTTACAAAGCATGTAGAGGTCTGTAATTTTTATCATAGGTACAATTCAACTGTGAGAGACGGAATCTAAAACAAAAATCCAGGAAATCACATTGTATGATTTTTAAGTAATTAATTTGCATTTTATTGCATTACATAAGTATTTGATCACCTACCAACCAGTAAGAATTCCGGCTCTCACAGACCTGTTAGTTTTTCTTTAAGAAGCCCTCCTGTTCTCCACTCATTACCTGTATTAACTGCACCTGTTTGAACTTGTTACCTGTATAAAATACACCTGTCCACACACTCAATCAAACAGACTCCAACCTCTCCACAATGGCCAAGACCAGAGAGCTGTGTAAGGACATCAGGGATAAAATTGTAGACCTGCACAAGGCTGGGATGGGCTACAGGACAATAGGCAAGCAGCTTGGTGAGAAGGCAACAACTGTTGGCGCAATTATTAGAAAATGAAAGAAGTTCAAGATGACGGTCAATCACCCTCGGTCTGGGGCTCCATGCAAGATCTCACCTCGTGGGGCATCAATGATCCTGAGGAAGGTGAGGGATCAGCCCAGAACTACACGGCAGGACCTGGTCAATGACCTGAAGAGAGCTGGGACCACAGTCTCAAAGAAAACCATTAGTAACACACTATGCCGTCATGGATTAAAATCCTGCAGCGCACGCAAGGTCCCCCTGCTCAAGCCAGCGCATGTCCAGGCCCGTCTGAAGTTTGCCAATGACCATCTGGATGATCCAGAGGAGGAATGGGAGAAGGTCCTGTGGTCTGATGAGACAAAAATAGAGCTTTTTGGTCTAAACTCCACTCGCCGTGTTTGGAGGAAGAAGAAGGATGAGTACAACCCCAAGAACACCATCCCAACCGTGAAGCATGGAGGTGGAAACATCACTCTTTGGGGATGCTTTTCTGCAAAGGGGACAGGACGACTGCACCATATTGAGGGGAGGATGGATGGGGCCATGTATCGCGAGATCTTGGCCAACAACCTCCTTCCCTCAGTAAGAGCATTGAAGATGGGTCGTGGCTGGGTCTTCCAGCATGACAACGACCCGAAACACACAGCCAGGGCAACTAAGGAGTGGCTCCGTAAGAAGCATCTCAAGGTCCCGGAGTGGCCTAGCCAGTCTCCAGACCTGAACCCAATAGAAAATCTTTGGAGGGAGCTGAAAGTCCTTATTGCCCAGCGACGGATCACGGATCAGTCGTCCTGGTCCCTTTGCAGAAAAACAGCCCCAAAGCATGATGTTTCCACCCCCATGCTTCACAGTAGGTATGGTGTTCTTTGGATGCAACTCAGCATTCTTTGTCCTCCAAACACGACGAGTTGAGTTTTTACCAAAAAGTTCTATTTTGGTTTCATCTGACCATATCACATTCTCCCAATCCTCTTCTGGATCATCCAAATGCACTCTAGCAAACTTCAGACGGGCCTGGACATGTACTGTCTTAAGCAGGGGGACACGTCTGGCACTGCAGGATTTGAGTCCCTGGCGGCGTAGTGTGTTACTGATGGTAGGCTTTGTTACTTTGGTCCCAGCTCTCTGCAGGTCATTCACTAGGTCCCCCCGTGTGGTTCTGGGATTTTTGCTCACCGTTCTTGTGATCATTTTGACCCCACGGGGTGAGATCTTGCGTGGAGCCCCAGATCGAGGGAGATTATCAGTGGTCTTGTATGTCTTCCATTTCCTAATAATTGCTCCCACAGTTGATTACTTCAAACCAAGCTGCTTACCTATTGCAGATTCAGTCTTCCCAGCCTGGTGCAGGTCTACAATTTTGGTCTTGGCCATAGTGGAGTTTGGAGTGTGACTGTTTGAGGTTGTGGACAGGTGTCTTTTATACTGATAACAAGTTCAAACAGGTGCCATTAATACAGGTAACGAGTGGAGGACAGAGGAGCCTCTTAAAGAAGAAGTTACAGGTCTGTGAGAGCCAGAAATCTTGCTTGTTTGTAGGTGACCAAATACTTATTTTCCACCATAATTTGCAAATAAATTCATTAAAAATCCTACAATGTGATTTTCTGGAAAAAAAATTCTCAATTTGTCTGTCATAGTTGACGTGTACCTATGATGAAAATTACAGGCCTCTCTCATCTTTTTAAGTAGGAGAACTTGCACAATTGGTGGCTGACTAAATACTTTTCCCCCCACTGTATACAGGCCAAATAAGTACCTTATTTAATGTGCAGGGGTACTGGAGTGGTTGAGGTGGGTTTATACATAAAAAAGTGACTGGTAGTAGGATATACAGTACCAGTCAAAAGTTTGGACACACCTACTCATTCAAGGGTTTTTCTAAATTTTTACTATTTTCTACATTGTAGAATAATAGCGAAGAAATCAAAACTATGAAATAACACATATGGAATCATGTAGTAACCAAAAAAAAACATATCTTATATTTGAGATTCTTCAAATAGCCTTGATGACAGCTTTGCACACTATTGGCATTCTCTCAAACAGCTTCACCTGGAATGCTTTTCCAACAGTCTTGAAAGAGTTCCCACATATGCTGAGCACTTGTTGGCTGCTTTTCCTTCACTCTGCTGTCCGACTCATCCCAAACCATCTCAATTGGGTTGAGGTCGGGGGATTGTGGAGGCCAGGTCATCTGATGCAGCACTCCATCACTCTCCTTCTTGGTCAAATATCCCTTACACAGCCTGGAGGTGTGTTGGGGTCATTGTCCTGTTGAAAAACAAATTATAGTCTCACTAAGCCCAAACCAGATGGGATGGTGTATCGCTGCAGAATGCACCCCCACACCATAACACCTCCTCCTCCATGCTTTACGGTGGGAACTACACATGCAGAGATAATCCATTCACCCACACCGCGTCTTACAAAGACATGGCGGTTGGAACCAAAAATCTCAAATTTGGACTCCAGACCAAAGGACACATTGCCACCGGTCTAATGTCTATTGCTCGTGTTTCTTGGCCCAATCAGGTCTCTTCTTATTATTGGTGTCCTTTAGTGGTGGTTTCTTTGCAGCAATTCGACCATGAAGGCCTGATTCACACGGTCCCCTCTGAACAGATGATGTTGAGATGTGTCTGTGACTTGATGTCAATGGGGCTGATGTGGATGCGGTGTCGGAGTCAGGCGCAGGACACAGAAGCTCAGTCAAACAGACTTTACTAGTCAAATATACAATACAAAAATAAACGGGCCTCAAACACTGGAGGCGAGCGATTACGCAAGCAGTGCGTAAAACACTAACTAAATGAGCACAAAACTCTGACATCAACGGACAGGCGGACAACAACACACAAACTCACATACACAAAGCAGAAAACTTATAGGACACATAATTAGACACAAACGGACACAGGTGCAACAGACAGACCAAACCAAACAAACATCGAAACATCCAACGGTGGTAGCTAGTACTCCGGGGACGACGAACGCCGAAGCCTGCACGAGCAAGGAGGAGGAGCAGCCTCGGCAGAATCCGTGACACTTGAACTCTATGAAGCATTTATTTGGGCTGCAATTTCTGATGCTGGTAACTCTAATGAACTTATCCTCTGCAGCAGAGGTAACTCTGGGTCTTCCATTCCTGTGGCGGTCCTCATGAGAGCCAGCGCTTGATGGTTTTTGCGACTGCACTTGAAGAAACTTTCAAAG